AAACATTTTCTTCTCAGCTCTCTTTTTTTTTTTTTGCTTCTGATGCTTTGCTCTGACTCCACTTCACCTTCAACCTGTACAAACTAGACTAGGCTCCATCTGATACTCGGGATCGGAATCGATCCGATATTGGTCAAAAGTTCAGGATTGGATATCACAGAAACCCACTGTCCTCCAACCGATCTGATAATGTTTGGTTACTGACCACGGAAGCCTGGCTGGACATTTCCCTCTTGGTATCCCTATGAAGGAAGGTATGTGATTCCAGCCTGGACTTCAGCCCTATTCATGCCCCCCCCCCACTCCCCACCTGCCCTACTCACCGAACCCCAGAGTGACTGATTGGTCCGAGCCAGCTCGACATTCCCTCCAGCGGCCTCTTCATCCGCTCCACGTTGTAAACGGGCGAATTGTAGAGTCGGGTCAGGTCTGCCCCGGCCAGGTCATAGCTGTGGTTGGGGGGGCTGTTTCCTGGAGAAGAAGGAGAAGAAGAAGAAGGGTTGTTGGACGTCAGAGTGGAAGTCCCGCCCTGTTACTCTCTCTCCCCAGATCTGATTGGTTCCTGCTCTGTTGTCTTGTAGTTCAACAAGACAACAGAGCAGGAACACCTTTACACACTGACCTGTGAAGGAGCCATAGACGCTGACGCTCAGGGTCAGAGCAGAGAAACACAGCAGTTCACTGAACCAGAACATGACGAATCCTAGGTGATGATGATGATGATGATGATGATGTCGATGTCGTCCTGTCAGCGCTCGTCTTTTATGCTGCACGAAGCCCTGCCCCTCATCCGTTTGCCCCACCTCATGTCCTTGTCACCGTCTCTGGGATTTTCCAAATCAGGTCAATGTTGCAGTTGTTGAATTTCCAGACTGACAGTAAACACGGCACTGAAACTGTGGCAGCCAATCACAGTCCGTGATTCTCCTGGTCTTTATAAATGTGCTCCAGGATATTTTGATTAAAATGATCAGACGTCTTCGGCTGACGTTGATATGACGTGTGACTGATGTCTGCAGAGATCTGAATGTCAGTGAGACGTGACTTTAACTATTGATTCTTGTGGCTGCAGCAGGTCAAAGGTCAGCGCTGCTGTTTGAACTGATTGTGTAATTTGGTGAATTCTTCTGCTACTGTTTCCCAACTAAGCTGTAAATATAATTTTTTTTAAAGGTTGACTTTGAGGTGGAAGTTTACGTCCTGTTGATTTGACACAAACTCACATTTTTGTTTTGTTAAAACTTCTCCTAAACCAAGTGCTCACTCTGTTATAGTCTGAATTATTCCAGGTTCAAACTCATCTTTAATGAAAACACAACTTTTCTTACACAGTTCAACATTTTGTACAAAACAAAAGCTCAACCAAAGAATCAAACAGAGGTCTGTCTCTGCTTCAAGAGATACAAAATACTCAGAGCTGAATGCACAGTGAGCGCCCCCTGCTGGCAGCAGGGACCGAAAAACTGATTCTCGAAATTCAACAGAAAACTTGGCAAAAATGTCACGGAAATATCTAAAAAATCTGCGTGTAGGAATCTGTTCAGAACGAAGTCTATAGAGAAAAGCAGTGATTTCAGATCAGAGACACTGAAGCCACTGGTTTTATTGCTCCCTCTTGTGGACAATTTATGTTACTGTTAATCTCAACAATGGATTTGTGAAGTGAAGTCAAAAAATAACACATCCTTGATCTAAAATCACTGATTTTCTCTATGAGGTTTGGTGTGTGAGAGTCAGCTGTTGACAATGTTCAGTCTCCAGTTCTACAGTAAGGTCCAATCATGGTGTCCTCTCACAGATAAACAGAATATATACATTATAAAAACACATTCTATTAGAACAACATAAACATAAAATGCTGACTTTTCACCAAATGAACTCCAGCTTCATAAATCTAAACGGCCTCATCTGGCTGCATCTTTGGCTCTTCCACGTCCTGGTCCTTTTCCTCTTCCTCTGCCTCCTCCTCCTCCTCCTCCACCCCCTCCTCTTTTCCTCTTCTGTCCAGCTTTATGACTGGTGACCCCTCCCCCGTCCTCCCTGCTCAGTGTCTGAGCCCACAGGTCCTCGTATCGCCCCGGTGCCTGGTACCCGTGCTGACTGCTGTCTAGTGGTGCAGTAGAGAGCAGGATCCAGATGGAGGGCAGGTTCCTGTTGACAGTGAGGCTGTCCAGGCCGGCGTCCGGCTCCAGGGGCTCCCACACTTCCACCGCTGTGCTGTACAGAAGCTTGGTGAGCTGGTGCAGCCCCTTCACACGCCGCTTCACCACCTCAGCACAGGTGATGGCCTTGGAGACGCCTTTGCCGCTGGCAGTAAAGACGATCTGCTTGCAGAGCTGACAGCTGGCCGCCGCCGCCGCGGTGTCCTCATGCCTCTCTGAGGACACACCGTCTCCCTGTGTCGTTTGTCCCGTCTGCTCGTCAGCTAAAGCATTGGTCTCCATGCGACTGAGGGCAAAGCGCAGCAGGTTTCGGATCTTGCTGCCATCTTTGACCCGGACCTCAGGAGTGTTGGGAGCGAGATCAGGGAATGGACAGACAGACGGCTGCTCCGCCGTCCGGGCCTTGGTGTAGTTCTCCATCTGCAGAACTACACAGAAAAGATTTAGTTTTAAAACGTACTGAAGAACTGGAACAAATGTCAACGTTTTCACTTTTTCACAACGAATTAAAACAGATGTGTTACTGATACTAAAACGTCATGGCCATCGCTAACTTTACACAAGAAACAAAGAAAAGTTTAATCTGTAAAGTTGAATTAACGGGTTTTTTTTATAAAACATGAATGATTAATGTCGAGTGATTCGACTCCATTGAAAAAAATTAAAATGACTATTTAAAATAAGAGTTGATATTAAAAAGTCCACAGTTACCATGATGACTCCAAACAAGCTGTCAGGCTGATGTGGCTAAGCTAACGAGCTAACAACATCACCATATCACCAGAACGGAGCTAAAAAACAACGAATTTAACAACGTCACCGTGACATGTAATCTGACCGAAACAAATAAAACAAATTCAAAGTTTATAATCTCACCACAGAGTTTGGTTTTCGGCTTCTACTGATTCCACATGTTTACCTTAGAGCCGCCGCGTTTGGCGGTACCGTACTGTGACGTGCACTGTCGCAAAGTGTCGCGATGCTATGTCATTACCACAAAGTGAGAACACCTGGAAAAGTCACGAAACAAACTAAAGCAGGTTTGATTTTCTAACCTCATGGTGGACTGGGTTTTACTCAGGCCAGGAACTGAAGAAACAAACGGAAACAATGCGTATTACCGGTAAGAATAAAAACATTCACTGTAAATATACAGTATGTATATATTTACATATACGTATCCATACATTTATGTAAAATGTATATATAAATATTTACACATATATATTACACGTTTTCTTAGGACTGTAAAACACACACATTATTTGTTTTCCAGCACATAAAGACAATTCATGGACAAACGGCCCGCCATACACTGACTATACACCGAGTTAAGTCCCTGTTTTCCCTGCATCTCAACGCATCGACTGTATTTCCAGGTGATGCCACTAGATGGCTGCAAAAAACTTACTTTAGCTGGATAAAAAAGACGTAAAATGTACTGATTCTGTACTGCTCACCGGTCAAATTTTGAATTTGCGTCCCGTAATTTAAAAAGTTTATCCCCCCGTACCTTAATTTAGACTTAACTTTCAAAATTTTTGACTAATATTATTCCTTACCACACCTTCCTAATCCCACCTCTGAAACTAATATTCAATCTAAAAAAACCAAAACAATTTTCATTCCAAACACAACACCACAGTTGTACCACACACTTAGATGTAAAAAGTAGTTCAAATACGTTTCATTCAAACTGTGCTGGAGTCTGTTTATTTTTGTATGAAAATCATCAGAACAGAATATGAATAAAATGTTATTATTTTATTTTCCTTCTTCTTGAACAAACGACCATAGTTGTTGAGTGATTTTGTGCTCGACAGCTGTAACTGATAGTAGAACAGGAAATTAATCTTTTTCCATGTTTCCATCTGTAACACGCATACACACACACCCATCCTGTCAGACTGGTCTGGGCCTCCTGGAATCAAGGGTTAGGATGGACTGGCTGCTAAGGAACTCCGTGAGTTCCAGTTTCTCTGGGAGGAAACCACCTCCATATCTTAAACCTTCCCAGACTTATGTTTCAGTTAACATCATAATCCATCAGAGGGCGCTCTTGGCACACACACACACACTTGGCCTCCAGCCCTTACAGCACAAACGATGATCATTCTGCTGTGTTCTTAGTTTCTCCCCAATAAACGAAAGCATTACCAAATGTTTTATATTCTGTTGTTTCAGAGGAAAGATTAGATCCACGAAAGCTAAATGTTATCTTAGATACAGCTAAAAATTACATGTAGCTAACCCCAGGCCTTTAGGGAAAATCAGGTAAAAGATGGTGGCTAAATGCCAGATTCAAACTGTCCAGAGCCAGAAAAAAAAAAGATAAAATATGTGAAAGTTTTCAAGAATTTTCAATTCAAAATATGTGAAAGTTTTCAAGAATTTTTGGAAACATTCAATTCCAGTTCCCTGTGTGTGGATGGATTTAATCAGTTGATAGATGAATTGATCATTGGACTGATGTGTACTTCTGCCGTGCTCTGCTGCAGACTGGAGGTGAATGGTGGGAGTGGTCGTGTGTCTGTGGGTGTTTCCTGCTGCTCCATATAAGATGCTGTGGAAATGTCTAAGGTCTGAGAGCAGCAGCAGCAGCAGCAGCAGCAGCAGCAGCACGACGGTAGGTTGAAGCTTCAGTCATCATTTGAAACTAGTGTGTTTTTGCTCCCAGGTTTCAGACTTACACCTGTTAAAGAGCAATGATCAGAAAACTAAATCTTTTTTTTTCCATTAAATTTTTTTTAGCTGTTTTAATTGTTGCAAATTTTGCTAAATTTTATTTAGATATTTATTTCCTTAAAAAATGTGTTTTTATCACATAACTGAAAACCCTATCCTAATCTTAAACCTAATCACTTTTCCATGGATCCTCTGACAGTTTGACACATGACCCTGGTTTGTTAGAACTTGTTTGTTTAAACCTTGAAAATATTTTCTCATTTATGAAACAAACTGAAAAACTAAAACTAGCCTGAGAGTTCTGAGTTCTGCCAGACAGTTTGTATTTATTTGTTGTGCAACTGTTGTGCAAAAAACACTCTCTTAAAATGAAAGTCTTTAATAATAATCATTAATAAAAAAGATTGCTTGACAATTGTTACAACACATTTAGGATAATTTAGGGTAGAATTCCTTGAGAGGGAGGATAACATGTTGCGAAAAATAACAGCAGCTTAATGTTAGCGGAGAAGCTAAATCAACATTGAAGGAAATGCCAGAAAAAGCAGCTCTGAATCTAAATCTTGTCATTACAACCAAGTACAAATGTCATCTAGAGGGCGCCCTGATCACTGACAACAGAAAGGAAAAAGTCTAGAGAGAAGGTTTGAACCGACACTTTCTCTCAGAACTTTAATGATTTTTTTTTTTGTCAGATTCTGTAGCTCCCTGATTGGACTGTTTGCAGATGACGCCACCACCTCTACTGTAGTTCTTTCTAGTCATTCTGAAAAATACCAGCTGTTTCCACTCTTGACCACATGTTCTTTCTTTCTCTCTTTTGTTTGAACTGCGTTCATTTTCTTTCCTGTCAGTTACACAATCACACACGTCTGCTTGATTCATGACACCGAATGATAAAAGCCATAAACGTGTGTGAAGCCAGGGTCTGTACTGTACCGACCTGATGTTCTGGGTTTCACTCTGTCCACTCCTGCACTGCTCTGCCACAGAGCCAGGCTCTTCTACCAGAACATTTGGTCCTTTCTATATTTGAATGGTTGGATTCCATGGTTGGATATTTCCCAACTCCTTTGACGTATCCGTCCAATAGTTTCAGCTTTGAGCTTCGAGCCTCGTTCAAGATTGATGATCAGAATGATGTTGAATCCAGAATTCTCCTCAGATTATTTACTTTAAACGTCTGACATCAGATCGTGATCTCCTTGACATAAACAACAGTTCAGTGACTGTAGAGACAGAATGTTGTTCTGTTTACTCCACGGGTGTTTTTTTTTTTCTCAGATTGTTTATTAAAATCTGTGTTTCTGTGTGTGTGTGTGTGTGTGTCTATGTGATCTGGTCTCAGGCCTTTTTTGGTCAGGGTTTACATCAGTGGCTGTGCAGTCATTAGTCTGTGATGAGAAGCATTCAGAGACAGATAAAGATCTGGCTCCTCCCCCTCAGATTCACATTCACGTTGTTTCCTGACGTGTATGAACGTTTGAAGCCGTTCAGTCAACCGTGTTTCTGAGATTTAGAAATAAATAAACAGACTGTATCAGGTCACGTCCTGCTCTGCCGTCGGCCGCCTCACTTCACAACTTCTCTGTTCTGTAGAAGCCTTGATGGATCGGGCATTTTCTTCAGTGTTTGACGTAGGGGGCGCTCACAGCGTCGTCTGTGAATATTGAATATTGATGTTGATATTAATAGTGAAATTATTTCACCTTAGTTATTGTATTATAGATTTATTGGTGTTATTGTTTTATTTTATTATCAGATTCACAGACAGGGTTTTTGTGTTTGAATAAAACAGGAAATGAAAATGTTTTCTTTAGATTATAAACTAAATATTCAGCAGAACGGGTGCAGAGAGAGACTTAATTATTGACTTAATGGACTGAGGGGTGTGTTTGTTAGAGAGATGAAAATCTGTGTTTCTGCACACACACACTCACACACACAGACTCACACAGACACACACACACACACAGACTCACAGCTCTCCACATAGAAAATAAACAAAATAATTGATAAAAGACCAACACCAGAAAACTGCAGAGACTTCCCACAAGCAGCAGAGGCGCTGTTGAGCAGTCACCGTAGATTTCAGAATCAGACCCAGAAATGCTGTGTTGATCCATCAATTTCTTTAGCAGTTTCAGAAAAAAAAAAAAAAACAGAGGTACAGAAAAAAAATATATTTATTGAAGAAGAAACCTTCATAGTTACAAGTAAACAAACTGTTCACTTCGTTCTTTCTTCCTCTTTAACATCTTTGTTTTTGCTGATCCAGGGACAGCTGTTACTCAGTCTCTCACCGTCCTGCGGGGGACTCTCTGATCCTGAATCTGCTCTGGGTAAGAAAGTCACACCTTCCTCGTCCACATCTACTGTACCATCATCATCATCATCATCATCATCATCATCATCACAGTGTCACCCTCACAGCTCCTTCATCTTCTCCATCTCTTTCTCTTCTCTCTGTCCCTCTGTGTCCTTCATTCTTTTCCACTTTTGTCTCCTCCTCCTCTTCCTCTTCGTCCTCCTCCTCGTCCTCTTCCTCCTCCCTGTCTCCTACGCTGAGGTGATATAATTTGGTACTTGTTTGGAGTCTCCCTGCTGCTCTTTTACAGCTGTTTACATCTGCTCTGTAAAACAAACCTCAGACACGGAAAACTCTCTCTCCTCCGACCTCTGGCTCTCTGGTCCGGTCTCTGGTCCGGTCTCTGGTCCGGTCTCTGGTCTGGTCTAAGGTTTTCGATCAGAGACTGTGCTGCCTGTGAAGCACTGACTGTCAGACCCTGAAGAGCAGGTCCAGGTCTTTATGTGACATAAACCTGAGTCTGAACATTGACTGTACTGCAGTAAAACCAGCTCCACTTTCACAGTCTGCTGGTTTTTAACACGGTTCATCTGAACACGTTTCCTGGTGTTCTTCCCAGGACAGGACACAACTGGAAAAGATCAAACTTCCTGCACAGCCAATGAATCTTTGACAGAAATGTTTAATTTAAGTCCCTGTAACGGACGGGTGGAGTCAGGGCTGAGTGGTCAAACCGAGGCCTCAGTGGAGTGAGGGCTGATGGTCAGACTGAGGCCTCGGCGGAGCCGGGGATGATGGTCAGACTGAGGCCTCGGTGGAGTGAGGGCTGATGGTCAGCCTGAGGCCTCAGTGGAGTCAGGGCTGATGGTCAGACTGAGGCCTCAGTGGAGTCAGGGCTGATGGTCCACTCGTACCTGCTGTGGGACTTTGTCATGGTCTCCTCAGTTTTTTTTTTTTGAGTTTCCTCCGACTCTTTTGTCTGCTTTTAACTAAATAAACTAAATAAGCGAATCATCAGGGAAGATTTGCGGCTGAGGTGCCGTTGGAGCGCGGTCCTGTTCCTCGTCTCTGGGCTCAGCTCCGTACGTAGAAATAACAAAACCCCCAGCTTTAGATTAGTCAGAGCGCAAACATCTGCCTTTCAAACACAAC